ACACCACCCAACCAACATCTACATGGGAAGAAATGACATTTTGTCAGTTGATTGTCATTCTCTGAAGGGATCCTATATTCCAACAGATCTGCTGGCAGTTTTGAAACTCATGTAGGCGTAAGCAATGGGAGAAACCGTCTTCTATAGTCATGGCCCAAAGCTAACAGAAGAAAGACTGCATTCGTCTTTCAGGACTGGCCTTTGCTTGGCTCAGACTCCATCCATGGTTCAGAACCTAACCAAGGGGGCAACTGGAGCAATTCACTTGGAAGCAGAAATTTCATTAATTCTTCAGTGATTGGTATGCTGACTGCAGTGAAACCAGCAGCAAAAGTAGCTCAGGTTTTGCAGATAATTTGATGTTTATTCAGAGCTTATTTCTAATACCTGGAATAACTGCAGAAGTTCCTGTCAGGTGTTCAAAAAAGCCTTTTCCCATTTTAAATGCATTCATGATACTTAAAACCCAACCACCAACTCCTTACTGAAAATCTGGATATTGTTGAAGTCCCATATAATTATTTCTGAGTAAAAGCTGCCTTTAAATATCATGACAGCAATACTGTGCTGTCTCAAATCTTGTGATGTCAATTATAGCTGTGCAAAATTAGTATAAAATTTCAGGAAAATCAAACTGGTGGTGCTTTTTCAGTGGTTGTTGGTACTTGTTGGCTTTCTCTGCTTACTCGGAGAAGTCAAACACAACACGCACAGCCTTCTACTCTCATATTTCAACTATTTTTCAAGGTTAGACAGCTTGACAGCATTGTTCTAATACCTGTCCTGGGAGAAGCCAGGCTGCACCTTTTCACCACAGCAAGTGGGGTTGGACGCAGGCTTCAAGAAATTATCTTTGCTAGTGTATAGTTTGAATTTTAAGGAGTGCTGAGTAAATTCTGAAATTAAGGATGCTCCAAAATGTAAGCCTAATGAAACAGATCTGTTGGTGTTCCGTGAAATACTTATGTAAGAAGTTATGCGGATTTGGCGGTCTCAGTATTATTGTCAGGTAAAAGAAGAGAACTTTATCTGTAGTGGCTCAGAATTGTTGGGAAATATTCTAGGCCAAATTCTCAGATGATAAAAAATAGCAGAATGTCATGGAAGAAAATGAGGTTTGCTAACCTATTCTAGATGATAATCTGATCCCTGGAGGGTTTTCATATCATCATAAATTACTATAACACCCATATTTTTAAACAAACCATCACTCAGAAAATTAATTTGCCCTAATGGTCGCAGAAATATTTGTATTTCCTGTTCTGTCCTTCATGACAAACAAATATCTTAAAATAATCATGCATGTAGATATGTATGTATGCATGTATGTTTGTATGCAAGAATTAAATCTCACAGGTGAATAGTTTTGCACTGTTTTAACAAAATGGAAGAGCTCTTTTCTTGGTGCACAAAGAAAAGAAACCATGAAAATTACATATCCCGGTGCTGACACAGGAATAGATCATGAGTTTCTTACACAAGCTGTAGAGAAAAGCAAAAGAATGAGTTTTGCGGTAAAATTAGACCACTTTCTCTCAAAACAGCTTAAGTAAAATTGTCTTTGTTATCCAGTATGTGCAGCCGATGTTTTTTATGCTTATTTTCACGAAATTCAAATGTATATTCTGAGTGGTCATCAAAATTCACTAAAAGGAACAGTGAAGCACAATTAGTTAGGATAATTTAAAATGGTTCATTGGAATTGATCAAAAAATACATAGAGGAGGCAGCTTAGCCTTTCAAGAGCTTGGGAATGTTGTTGATCATCATTTTTTTGGCCATTATATGTGATGAGGGTTACATGTATTTTAATTTCACTGAAACGCGTACTCTTTTCTTGCATGTAAATTTTGTCTGACCAGAAAAAGAGGAATTTGGCCCTTTGTCTGGAATTTCTAAATGTTTGACATCCTGGAAGCTCTAGGGACGTTGCCACTATACACAGATTGACTGTCCAGTGCATGCACAAGACCTCCAGCATGATCACAATGTGAGAATGATTGTGCATGTGTTAGTTGTTCTATCTACTCAGGATTTTCCTATGCATGCTGTTCTTTCTGGTATGAATGCCTCTATACATTAGTAACTTTATAACTACATCTGTTTTCAAAAGGCAATATATGTAGGAGAAATGTGATACTTGTTTCTTTTCTAAGAATTCTATCATGTCTACTGCTGCATTATTCGGAAGGAGAAAATATGAGCAAAGAAGGGTGGTTGCACAGATAAGGCATAAGACTAAAGATCAGGCATGGGTATGTCAGTTGTTTTAGCCAGTGACTCGGTTCCTCATATGTAAAGAGGAGATAACTCCTCTTACCATAACATTAATTCACAAATTAATCCAAGCGCATAAAAATCTATAGCAATAGTGTGTGCGCCACAAAACAGGTACTCGTTTATTTCCTAATAGGCATCTAAGGAAGACTACCTGACTACTTTGACAACCTAAAAGCTGTAGTGTAAGGAACAATTTTGCCAGTCTTCTCCCATTTTTCCAAACAACAGTGCTGTGATCCAGTGTACGGGAAGGTCATCTAACCGGAGGGGACTGAAACAGCTGTTAAGTGTCTACATACTACTCAATTTGCTGACCTTCGCATTTCTTAAATATTATGTAGGAACTTGCAGTGCCTGAGTACCAAAAAAACCCCGACTTTTGGAACTCCTTTGGAATTCTTTGCACCAGCTCACGCACCAGCTCACACACCAGCTCACAATCCCTTATTACTAACATCATGCTCTAAATTTGGCCTCCAGATGCCCATATGAGATGCACTAGTCTTTATGGAGAAATTATCTCCAGATATTGAAATACATTGTGAAAAGAGACTTTCTACTCAGGCATGAACATTCCTCACTCTATAAATATATAGTTATGCCAGCTTTTATATACCCTACTGTGTCCTTGCAACTATGAAAAAATCATATCGAGGAGATGAAAGTAAAATTTTGCAATATATGGCAATAACAGCAGCACAAATGACAGCAGCAGTATACCTTCCTGCTATGCGTTAACTTCAGCTCTGCTGGCAAAGCGACAGCACATTTGGAGAGATAAGAAGAAAGCAAAACAGAGCAAAAGATACCATCATTTGAAAATGGAAGTAGCAGCCTCCACTTCTTCAAGTGCAAAGAGAAACTACATTACCTTCTCTCTCTGGTTTGAATGTGAAGGCAAATATTTTAGTAAATAAATAATTAATAAATCAAGGACAGGAGCATGTGAGATGCTGAGAACTTCACAGCTCTTTGAAGTACCTTGTGGTAAGTCCCGCTCAAAAGATTGAGAGGTGTTTGGTACTTGGAGAGTGAGTGATTTTGCAAGTACTTTATTGGGATATACATTCATGAGGGTGTCTTGAGACTGTCCGAATAAATGCATCATTAGTAAGCATTTAAGGCATTATGATATCTGCATTGTCCACCAGGAATTCAGGAAACTTAACTGCAATAAAAGCAGAAAGATTGCCACAGCTCCATTTCAGTGTCTTCTTAGAAAATACACATTACCTTTGGAAAGCATAAGGTAAATATGCAAATACACATGTACACACAAATATCCTACACACCTTCTTGCTCTGATTATTCAATAACTAGGACCTATATTTAACTAGGTAATTGGATCACTGGCACCAAAAGCAATTAAAAACTCTCTAATATTTTTGGTCAAAACTAATGATAGAATTCCAGAGCCCTGTGTATCATTTTGTCTTCAGTGTGCCTTGGGATTTGAAAATCCAGCTGTAAACTGACAAAACAGTTGATAAATGATGTGACAGGAAGTGGTCTCAGTAACTTCATTAGTCTTTCTTATTTTCACTGGATCTGTCATCCAGGTGTGCACACATCACCTACTGAGCAAATACACTGACTTAGTGCTAGTGTCTATGATATATGGAACAGGGCAAAAAGCAATTGAGGTCCCTGGGTTTATTTACATGATATAAACTGTAATTGATAGATCCTTTTCTGAAAGGTGCTTTATACAGACTAGTAACAGTAGAAGAACTTTGTTTCCCTACTCCTGAATGACAGAGAAGAAGAAAGCTTTCTATAAAATTCTTAAAGGGCTCATGTTACCTTACTACAGGGACATCTGTTACTATATCATGAAGCCGCTGTGAGCTTGTTACCAGTCCCTGCAAGGGATTCCAGTTCATAGATGGGAAACTGAAATGCTGGCATATCTACAGTAGGAAACAGAGGACAGTGCAGAGATTCCTTGGCTAATTACATCCATGAGAGTCAGTGCAACACTTTGAAGAGAAACTATCCAGGAACACTGAAATGGGATAGCTATTATGATGGTGCTTTATCTGGTCCGATAAACCTGCCTCCCAGAAAGAGCTAATTGGCTTGGGCACTTGGACATTCTGGGAGTCCACAAATTCTGGCAGAAAGCTTCACCACAACATGTAGATGTATTTACAAGGGAGAAAACAGTGACCAAATAGGATGGTCTGTGACGGAGGAGGAGGTAAGCTTAGTCCCCCTTGAAGAGCCTGGATACTGCGCCAGTGGTCGAACACGGAATGTGGCAGAATGTCACCTTGCCAACAAAAAGCATCAGTTTGTTGTAGCAACAGGGCAGTTAGGAAGTCAGCCAAGGGCAGAATCTCTGTGGTCATTGTGTTCTCGCCTTTGAACTGGGACAGCTGCTTTCACGTTTTCTGTATGGAAATCCTGTGGAGACTGTTGCCTTATGTTTAGCTTGATACCTGCCCTGTCTTTGGATATCAATTACACATGGTAATCAGCATGCTTTACTTTCTTCCTCTTATGCTTCTCTTTCTCAAACTGAATAAGAAAGAAATTAATTGTCTTACTTGCCTAAATATTTTCTCAGATGTGAAATTTATGCCTCGTATCACTTTTATAAAATGCAGCAAGTACTATGTGCCTGGAAACAAGAGGCTGAACTCTTAGTTCACATGCTGAAATGCCTACCTAGCTCCAGTCAGTTAAAAGGATAGTATTGACTTCCAGCTAATGACTAGATGAACCCTACAAGTTGTGATCTGACTATGCTGGAGGGAGTAAGAAACTCCCCAGTCTGAGGTAGATTTTCAGTCAAGTTTTATTTCCATGAAAGAAAAGCCATCCTTCTTTGAGCTGCAGAAGGATATTGATTATGCTACATTTTAAAGAAGTATGATATACTATTCTTACTTCCTGGGCACCCCTAGCCAGCTCCATGAGTTACTTTAACAGGAATTGCTGACAAATTCTCGTCTTAAAAAGCCTACAAGTGAGATCTTCAGAAGATCTACCCACAGACCTGTATGCCGTGATTTTTCTTTTTTATTCACGTCTAGGCAAGGAACATGGTGGAACATAAATGAGAGTTAAGCTCCTAGCCACTTTCATATAGGCTCCAATATGCCCTATGTGTATGTGCGCACGTTATTCTCAGAGTCACTCTTTTTTTTTGGCGTACGGCTCACCTGCTTCATTGTCAGCACATACATATCCCCATTCTGTTCCAGAACATTGCTGGAGATGCTTTAACATCAGTGGAGGTCTCCTGTGTTGAGACAGGAACTCTGTTTGCTAAACAGCAGGAAATACAAGAAGATTTGGAAGAACTCAGCAATCTAGAGGGATCAGAATATTCATTCCAAACAACTATGGAAGAACTTGAGGAAAATCAGAAAGACAATCATCTCACTTTACAGGAACCCCAGAATAATGATAACAAGAAGCAGCTGCATGAAAAGATGGTAAGTGGAAGATACAATTCTTCTAGAGGTAAAACTACAATGCATCATGGAACACATAGACCAGACAGGAAATTGAGTGTGTGCAAAGGAAAGTGAGGATCATAAGACATTTGAGTTACTTCTCAGAGGTAAAGAACCTCAGTGGCTCCCGTTTTCATGGGCTAACATCAAATTCACAAGATGTGAAATCCTTATTGTGAAAGCTCTTATTTGGTCAAAAGAGCTATAGTGTTTGGTTTAGATCAGCCAGGCCCTAATTAAATATTTTTAGAATTTTCTTTACATTTTCAAATCAGAAAAATTTTATATGGCGGATTTTTCGTATTTTGTAAGACAACGTTCAATGGAAGATTTCTTCTCCAACTCTAGGAACAAACTTTTTAGAGGGAAATAATGGATATTAGAAAACTAGTGAGTCATTATACAAATGTGTGAATAATCACTTGAACAAATATTCAAGCTTTAGATGAAAATATTCTATTTTTATCTGTCAGCTTAAATACAAATTTGTCCTTCCTCTCTCCGATTCATAGCAGGGAGCCATCAGAGACATGACAACATCATCTTTCATCTCAGACAGTAAAACAGAGAGCATGGATGCTAAGTGTCATATGGCATATTTGGACATGAATGGAGGAATCAGTGCTTTGCAGTCAGAAGTATCCACCAATGCAGAGGAGCTGGAACAGCTCTGTGGCAAGCAGGTCACAGCAGCTGATATTGAGCTTGAGAGGATGAGGTGGGATTTTGTGCTGGCTAAACTGAAATATGAACATGAGGATAATGAAAAGCAAAGGCTTCATGAAGAGAGAATGGAGCAGATCCATCAACAGGCAGTAAAAAGATCGGTAAGTAGAGAAAAGAAAAAGGGTTGAACGCGATAGAGACTGAAACATACACGTTCTATGTTAAGCAATTTGTAAGGTTTTATTCTTTTGCATGTTGAGTAGTACTGTGACTTCTTTTAAAGTTAGACTCAACTAGGTGATCTTTTCAGCTTGTACACGTACTTTAGGAGAATGGAGTTGTTCTACTCCCTACAGTGTGAACTATGGTAACATTCATTGCTATAAAATATGTTAAAAGAACAGTTAACTCACAAATGAAGTTGATGATGTAAGGATCCAAGAATTTTTTTTTTTCTCCTTATTCCCCCCCCCGCCGTGAAAATCAGAGGAATTGCTCTGAACACCACTTTGATCAGTTTCCTGCTTCTACAGTGGGATCAATTTCCTGGCTTGGAAATTGATCAGTTAGATGACTCAGAAAATAAATGCATGAATAAATAAGTGGATGACAGAATCTACCAAAGTAATGCAAATTTTCTAGACAGTTACGCAGATTTCGCGAGCCTGTTTTTTTACAGAAGTAACTGAAGTTATCGTATGTTCAGGCATATGAGTCTGTTGTTAAGAGCAGTCCAGCCCAGAAGAGACCATTCTATTTGACAGAGTTTAGCAAACGGGACAGCTGCAAATCTAGGTTGTCTGGGCTCTTCGTGATCATGTTGGATGTCTGTGGCGGCTTGACTCTACTCCAATTTAACACAAATCATCATTGGACTGAGTTAGAGAGTAAGCAGAGTATCTGAATCTAAATCATCAGTGTTTTAGAGGTACTTGCATGTTTTTCTTCTCTTGCATGATCTGTGCTCTAAGTCAGGACAGGATAGAAGGATGTGTTTTACACAGTATTTGTAACCTTTGTGTTGCGGTTGTACTTAAGAGCTCAGATCACGCACAATAATGGCACTCAGCTAAGCACCACAGAAGCCCTGAAGTTTTACATCTGCATATATATATTTTTTTCCATATAGCCAATTCATAGGCCTGGATAGGATCTCACAATTATGTGAAGTAAATGACATCCCAATTAAATCAACAAAGTTATATCGGAGAAAAACAGATCAGAATCAGGTCCAATATGTATTTGGCTAAATGACTGACAGGCACCCGGACAAAGGAAATTAACTACTGAATTCTTAAATTAAGACCTGAAAGTTTGCCCATGAGCATGTGTAAACGTACGAAAATGACCATGCAGTGAAAAAACACAGGCAACAGTTTGCGTCACATGTGTAGAGATAGATGCACGAAACCCATGGGTGTTTGCTTACTTCACACAAACTGCTTTGTGTACCTGCACACTTATTCTTGCAGTAAATATGAGGTTTCTTACCTTCATTTCAGAGAGAGAAAACCTAGCTCGTGCTATGGATATGGGTGGGGATGTGACACCTATGACTTAACACAGCGTAGCTGATTTGCTCTCATTTCACATGCTGGCTTATCTCACAGCAACTTTTTATGAACTAAGTGTGCCCGAAGGCCAGGTGTGCTCAGGGGAGCACGTGGACTGGGCGCAAGTGGAACATAGTCGTGTGACATAATGTGTATCTTTTCCTTTTTCCACAGTTTAGCCAAGGACTCCAAGACCTACTCCGGCCCCCAAACCAGTATGCCTTGTTCCTATACTGCTTCATCATTATTCATCTTATTTATACGCTAAAGGAGCTGGCCTTCTACTTTTTCCAAACCCATTACCTCTTCTGTTTTGCTATTGTGCTCATTTTCATTCTCAAAAAGTTTTTGCAGGATTACAAAAATAAGAAAAAATGTTCTTAAAAAAGGCAGCATACTGTATACTTGTTGCCCCTCTTTACACTGCTTTTTATTATCTTTTCCTCACTACACCAATCGTACGTGCAGGATTTCAGCTATTGTTATATGCACAGTAGCCTAATTAGGGAAAACTAACTGATTTCCTCAAGAAAATTGTGACTCAGTGACATCATTTGACTTCATGCTCTATCACCATCGTGTTTGGCATCATTCAGGGGCATTCATCTTTACAAATAAAGTTACATGCAACAAGAAATAATTTTGGAATGTGTGCTTTCTGTTTTCTCTCACCTCCTTGGTGACTTGGACTTACTTATAATAAATTGTCACAGAGAGGTTTCAGAAGTGGATTCATTAACATGGAAGGAGGTGCTTAGGAGAACTTCATATTCTGTTATGTGTTCACTACCGTGCGCTGGGCAGGCACCTCACTTTGGATTAGGGCTGTCTCTGCCTCTGGGAGAGAAGCATTCCCCTCTGTGCTGTGCCATCTTCCATAGTTACACACAGTTTCTGTCAGCAATAGACCAGCAAGCACTGGTGAGCACATACATTATTTATAATGAAGGTATCCTGATTTATGAAATATCAACACTGGTAAGGAAAGATATCAAATACAGCCCCAATAAAAAGGCATTTTGTCTAGTGAGAATGTGACTAGACCTTTTTAATGCTGTTTCAGCCATGCAATAGAGGATATTTCCAGCAGAGAAAAGGTGAAGAGTTATCTACCATATGGTATGTCAGATTAGAGTAAGTACAATCTTATCAACTTTCTACTGTTGTTAGAGCATAATTCACCCATATATCCCCATGCACATGCCTTACTCTGTTTCATTTAAATAAGTCTTGTCTCTGCATTCTCTTCGCACTGTGTTCTTAACAGGAAAACAACCTAAATAGTATTTGATAATCAGGATGGATATGCAAAAAACCATTCAGGTCAGGGTGAAGTGTGTGCAGTCTAACCCTACTCAGGTTATCCTGTATCCTGTATCCATTGTACGTCTGACGTCAGTCAAGATGGCATTCTTTGGGAATGCTAGGGGCGGTGTGTTTACAAAACCAATGCTAGGTACAAGGCTGTCTGAACCGAGGCAGTAGAGAAGAGCATATCTCAGATCCAGGTATAATGACTGGGTAGTTTCCTGGCAGTGCAGAACGAGTGCAGTGTGCAGGGTCTTCTCGCATTTCCACAGCCTCTCTGTTTCTGAAGCTGTGGAGGGTTCCAGGGAGGGTCCACTCTACATATCCAGAAAAATCTGCAGAAGATTGAAATGAACAATGACACAATCTACCTGAAAGGAAATTTAACCAGCCAAAGTGCAGTTGCTTGCTATAGGTACGACCTACATATACTGATTTAGAGAACTAGACCAATCAAAAATAAGTAAGTGAATAAAAGCTTTACCCCAGCTGCAGTTCCTCCACAGCAAAAGTAATCATTACCGCTCATGGAAATTCTGGGCCCTCTCACCCACTTCAGGATTTCTATGGAAGGCAGTGGTTCTGCTTTATATTTGTAAGTGACCTGAGAGTAAGATCTGTAAATAAGCCGCTTTCAAATCTGTGCTTTTCTCTCACTGAAATCGTAAGAATATCAGACAGCTGGGAGAAGCCTTTCCTTTGTTTTCTGCTAAATCTGAAAACCCTTTCTGTAGATAACCCATATATAAGTACAGTTTGCAATAGCACAAGAGACTTCAACTACTTCTCTTCATTGTTCGTAACTCTTTGGTTTTGATCAACAGGAGAGATTATATCAATCTGCATTTGATATTGTTAATTCAAAGAACAACTAGAATTAGTCAGAGATGCGTGACCATTTGAAGTTCCAGAATATGGTGTTTGCACAGAGCTGCTATTTTTAATACTCATTTAATGCTGACTTTTGGGGAGGGGCAGAAGGAGTTGTTAGTCTTTTGCATGTTATTTATTGCACACAGGAGATAACACTAAATAGTCTTAAGACAGCTGCCTCACCATACACACGTATTCCAAACACACACATATCTCCAAATCATAAAATCAAGAAGAAAAATAGATTAGCCTTCCCTGGTAAGTGCTCTCTAAGCCATTGTGTGTACCCATGCTATACTTCTAAACTTATTCTCACATAGATGAGAGCTAGGTTTTTAACGTGGCAATTTCTACGTAGCTGCCTACCTTTTGGGAGCTGCAACTCAAAAAAAAAAAAAAAGTTGAAATACCATGAATCCATCGATAAAGTCATGAGAAGTAGCAATACAGAAAAGAAAAGAAAAACCCAAGCTCCTCCCTAACTGCTTCAGGTCCTTCCATGCTTTGATCAGCTCTTGCCCTTCACTGGGGTGACAAATACACCCTTTGAGTTGCCTGACTGTGCCCTCCACCCTTTTTTGACAACCGTAGGCACACTCATCACAAATCATATGGTTTCATGTGAAACCACAGGAAACTTGGTGGTTTCAGCTATTTTAAGCCCCAAAGTAGGCAGTATTTTACAGCTGGTTTGATTTTAAGAGAACCACAGCAAGTGAAAAGAGCTCAGGGTTGTAGCATAAAGCTATTCTAAAGTTTCAGAAGCCACTACAAAGAGCCTCAAATTAACGAATAAAAATAATAATGTCATAATTCCCATGCTTTTTGGCAGCTAACTTGTGACTTATCAGTACCTGAGTTGGGCATTACTGATCTTGACAAATTTGCTAATTCACCTGGTAGGCAAGGCTACGTTTCGCAGCATTTATTTATCATTCTCCCACAAGGAGGCTGGCTGCACCAAATCAAAGGGCAAACTTGGAAGAGAAAGGAAGGCACTAACCCACCGGATAACCAAAACTTGTTTCGTGCTTAGGAACTTCATTCTGGGACACCCTAGTCAGAAATATTTCTAAGCTCGAAGCTGGGGTTTTTTAGAAGGCTGCAAGGTCGGCTTTGTTGCAAAAAGTTCACAGCCTCTTTCAGTTAATTGGTGGCTTCAGACCTCAGATGTATGGTTTTGAGACCAAGATGAGCTCCCACCTATACGCAGGCTTAACAAACCTGATCAAAACCTTCTGTTTCTTCTTTTCTTTTTTCTTTTTTAATTTTTTTTTTTATTTTCTGCAGCGAAAGGCTAAGAAGAGGGGACGAGGAGAAAGGCAGCGCAGCAGAAAGGAAGACCTTGCCAGAAGATCGTCCGCTCTTTCCAGTCCCAGCGCTGCAAAGCTCCGCAGGTCAAACGAGCCCCGGCCGAGAGCGCCAGCGAGACCCTCCGCCTCCACCGCGCCGGCCGAGCAAAACCCGAAGGAGACGCAGCCCTGCGCCTCTTGCCGCTGCTGGAACGCGGCACAGCACGCCGGTTATCAACACGGCTCCGAATCGGCTGCTCCCTTGGTTTACCAGCGAGCCCCGGGGCAGCGGCGGCACAGCAGCACGGCAGCGGCAGCTCCGCCCCGACCCGCCCCGGCCGCCCCAGGGCAGGGCAGGCTGCTCTTAGGGGCAGGTTGAGAGCACGGGGAGTGACAGCCCAAGGGAAATCACCGGCCACCCTTGGGAGCACGGGACAAAGAAACCTTGGAGAGCTTCACTGCAAGGCAGGGGTGAGTGATATCGGCCCTCCGGTATGAGGGGAGGGGGTGCTGCGGGTGGGTTTGCACGCTCGGAACAGCGTGAAGTTAATTTTACTTTGTTTGCAACTGTGTAATCCCAGGAAAAGCGTTACACGGATAAAATAACCTGTAATCATTTGTGAAGAATGGTTTACTAGCTCCAGTTATGAGGGATGAGGTGGGATTGGGGGAGAAGAAGAAAGTGCCTTTGCTGAGCTGCTGCTGAGCGGTACCTGCGTGCTCAGGTGTGCTCCCTGCCACCCCGAGCCTGGCGGGCACGGCGGGGGGAAGAGGGCGTCAGTAAAGGTAGACGGTAGGACTAGTTTTGTGGAGCACTTTGAGGCAAAAAGTTAGGTGCAGTCCTGCTAGTTGTGTAAAGGGTTGCTGTTCCTCTAGGTTGGATGCTTTTGCTCCAAGTCTGTTTGGGACTGGTTTGAAAGCCAGTACTACACTTGTTGGCAGTCATGAGCAGCCAACGTCTAGGCATACTGTACGTACTCGGGGTTTGGGGGAAGAGGGGAGAAGATTCGGGTCTTCTGATACCCCTTTTTAGATTAACATAAACTCTTCTGGAGAAAAATGGTTTAGGTCGTGCCTGCTGCCGTGAGCTTTATAAACTGTTTTGTGGAATGAGATGGGCTCTCAGTTGCATTAATACTATGAGAATGACTCCCCAGCGTACAAAACTAGGGTGTAAAAAGTGTGTGTTTGTGTATGCAAGCGGCTGGTCTTTCCCCCACTGTGGTGGGAGCTGGGGCCTGACTGGGTAAGTGCCTGCACCTGGGATGCCACTGATCACAGCCAGGTGTGGGCTCAGCCTCCTTAGAGGAGCATCACACTCTAAATCCCAGTGCTCTTTATCATCTTCCATTTTATTTCCAAAGACCCAAACTGTTTGGCCTAAATTATAGTAATGTTGAATTAGCCCCCCCCCCTTTTTTTTTGGTGCTTTGGTTGTAAAGGGACTAGCTTTTGCGTGTGCTGTATTTTTAAAAGCAAGACACTTTACCTCTCTGCATAAACAGTTGTGTTCTTGGCTTTTCCTTTAAAAAAAAAAAAAAAAAAAAGGGTTGTAGTGCTGTGGTTAGGTTAATTAAAATTAACTCTGCACTTTTGGGATTTCTTTCTTCTTGTTTGGCGTTCAGGAACTGTAGTTGCTTAGCTCTTCATGGACTCGACTTCTTTCAAACTACTTGAAATACCCAGCCATGGGGATGGGAGTTGCTGAAATGGCCGTTTGGCTTCTTAAAACCTATGGTCTTTTGAGGTTTGTTGTTGCTTTATTGTTGTGAAGAAAATTTTAAAAGGCTGCCTTGGTGCTTTCTTCCAAGGACCTTACCATGTAGATAGCCTCTCTGCTACAGTCTGGTCCAACTTTCACTGAAACCAGTGAAAATCATTCTGTTAACCTCAGTGGCAGCTGGGTTAGCTATTCTGGCTTGCAAAAGTACTCAAGAGTATTTCCACTGTAGAGACCAATGGAATAGTACAGCTGTAAAAGTCTCATTACAGCCACAAACCTTTCCAGGTATGTGCACTGGGCAGCAACTTTGATCTGAGTTGTTTGGTGTTTCCCATGGTGGTGTTCTGTTGGCAGCAGAAGCTAGTGGAGTATTTGTTTGGGGGATTTTTCAGCACATCAGTGAGGGAAACAAGAAAATAGGTCTTTTGCTTTCTTCTGTAGCCTTAAAACCACAGTAGAAAACTTTAATTTCCATTAAGAAATCTCTCCCCCTGGTTTGTCTTTTTTTTTTTTTTTGGTGTGGGTGTTTTGGTTTTTTTTTTTTGTGTGCGTGTTCTGCCCCCAAAAGTCTTATTGCTGTTGTGAAATTCCTTGTAACCATGTGGGTTAAGCTTACTGGAGGGAAAAAAAACCCTGAGTGTGTGACCTCTTTCACCAGCTTAGAGAAATTAATGAAATTGGTCACCAGCATGAACATGGCTTCACGTGAATGCTTGGGAGAGAGATATGGAGAAAAAGGATGAGGTTATTCTGGTTAAAGGAACAGAATTCACTGGACTCCAGTTTCTCTGACTGGGCTGCTTATGTCTGTGGGTTTTGCCACCTGTAAGTCAAAAGCTGTTGAATGTTGTAGGTGCTGAGTGTGATGGTGTGCAGCTGGAATAAGGGCCCTAGCAGGACATTCATGTACATGAATGAAGATCTTGTTACTTAAATGATTTGATGTAGTACCATGATCACAGCTATTCTTCCACCCCTATTTTGGTAAATGTTTCTCCAGTGTTCCTGAAGGGCAGTCTGCCTGTGTCCCCAGTGCACTGCTGCTCTGTCTGACTCCAATACAAGCACTGGTTCTCCGGGTCCCGAGAGCTCTGGCTGCCTTCAGCTTTGGTATAAGTAGAGATAAATGGCTTGTAGGACCTGAGTTATTTCCAACCAGGTTGTCTTCTGAGTGCTGAGTGTAATCACTTGAAATGTGGTGTCCCTCCAGAGCCTGGGAGCCACCACCAATCAGCTGGTGCTTAGGCTGGAAGTACCAGTATCAAAATGATGGGTCTAAAGCATGAGAAGTTGGAAGCACTGGGAATTAGTGGAAAGTTTTACATCTTTCTAGAAGCTAGTCCATTCACTGGCAATAAAAAAAAGTACTGGACTGTATTTTGGGGCTGAGTTTTCCAAACTGCCATCATTAAGTATTTGAAGAAACGTAGAGAAGACTCTGACTGCTGTAAAATTGATGGTGTATTTAAAGATAAGCACATGCTTAACTGTATACCTCTTTTTTTGTTGGACTAGATCCAGGTGCAGAATGCTGTCCTTTATGTTACATTGTTTTTTAAAGGGAAAGAATATTTCCCTCCCCTTTGAAGCTTGCAGGACGCTAACTTGTAAGTTTTTGACATGTATCCTGTATCCAGGTGCCTTTTTTTTTTTTTTTTTTTTTTTTTTTTTGTCTGAACGGTGCTATTTAAACAGTAAGCTTCTTGGATACCTACGGTCAAACGGGGCAGAAAACAGGTGTAACAATGAAGCCCTCTGTGACTCAACCCTAGTCTAAGGGTGCCCTCTCTTGGAGATCATCAGTTGCTGCACTGGTCGCAGAGGGATTTCCAAATAGAGTCATCCTTCCATCTTTGCTTTGCAACTGACCCCTGCTTTTACATCTTCTTTTTTTTTTTTTTTTTTTTTTTTTTAAATGTTGGTTGTTATTTCGGAGGAACCGCTAGAAAGTTTCAAAATAATTCAAGACACTTGCTGCTGTGTTCACCTCGGGGCAGACAACTGTTGTCTAGGCCAATTTTTTATCCCGCCCCAGAAACAAGGGAGGCTGATGGAAAATTAGAGATAAAACGACTTTTCAAAACACTTACTTCAATGTAGCAAGGGTGGAGTTCCAAGGCGCTAAAGGGACATAAACAACCAAACCTTGCTGTATTTTTTGGATGGATTTCAACATAGAAGTATCTCAATGCCATAAGAAATCTTGCCTTGTCCTAGTTTGCGGTGTCCCAAGTCTTCTAGCTGATCATATATGATTTTGAATTTTATTCTACTTAAATGTTTCAAGTAACATCTTCTTAGTAATCTGACCAGGGCAGCAATAACGTATATGGACTAAAAGTTGTCTTTGGCTAGAATAATGCTGAAATATTTGTTTAGATTTAACTAGACTGGCAAGTTAGGCTGGTAGACCTGTTTATCCAGCCTCATTCAGATTCCTAGAACAGAAGATGTGTATTTTATTCATCTGTCAAGGTTAAAAAAAAAAAATAAAAATTGCCCAAGTGATTTAAGGGGACACAAACTTGGTGTGGTTGGTTCACAGACAACTCTCCTATCTTGGTGTTAATGCCTGTCTTCATAGATTTTGGTTAGTAGTTTATTGTTTGTTGGAAAAAACATTTGAACACATGTACTAGTTTAGGAGCTTAAGCATTTTATTTTACTGAAATGCTCCCATAAAGCCTGATTTTATTTTTTTTTTTTTTTAACCCCCCTTCCCCTATTTCACGTGATATCTTGAGGCCAGAGGAGAGATTCTTGCCCCGATCCATGTTCCTGGCCAAGCTAAATATGCCCCTTTACATTGAGAGTAAACCAACAGAGGGAAGATAGTAAGGCTTACAGAAGGGAGACGATCCAGAGCTGTGCTGTAGGCAGCTCAGTAAGACCATGACAGCCTAAATTGTTTCTGCTTAACTTGTTTGCAAGGATATCCTCTCAGAGTGAGCCTACCTACCCTTGGGTTGAGAACTGAAAAGGGCTAAATTACTTTTTGGCTTGTATGGGGTCATGTTATTTGTCCCTTCTTAATGGAATACTAGAAACTTGAGATCACCCCAGCACTATCTTGTTTCAGTGTCTGGGCTGGACAAGGATTCAGACAAGTCTTTGACCGTCACGTATTCCCAACAGCATTCTTCAGCTCACTGAATTGGTATCTGTTGTCAGTTCTGCTACAGCAATTCCAATGGAGAAAATGCTTTTTCTTTTCCCAGGAGAACAAGGAAACTAATTGATTAACTCTTGTTGGCTCACCAAAGTTTTAGCATCCTTCAAAGATGTCCAACTAAAAAAAAGGGTATTTTGAATTTCTGTCTCTGACAGGACTAGCTTTTCAAGGGTGAAATAAGTTATCTTCTATGTTCCTCCTGTGCAGTGAACAATCCTTCTGTTTGTCAAGACTAGAAAATGCCCAGCTTTTGTTCTCTTTGCACAAACTGATGTTTGAGAACATTCTCCTGTGGTTGGAGCATGTTCTTTCCAGAGCCTGTAGGGGGTGGAAAATTATTATGGCCTCAATCCTTAATTCAGAGGTCCTGGATTTGTAGCCACTGTAATAGCAGGAATTTTAAGAGCATCCTTCCCCAAGATGTTTTAGACTTTAAGCTAAGGTGGAATAAATCTTTTAAGATCAGTTGCTCT